ATATATTATTCTAAAAGGCAACCACATAATATACTATAACCTTATACGGTTATAATATAACGCGCGCGTGACGACAACAAAACACATCTGCGAATCATGATCGTAAATGGGTCGACGATCGACGGAGACCGAGAAAATATTATTATACTCACGCAATAGTCTAATATCATTATGTGTGTTTAGTACGCATATATTATTGATGGAGAGTTTTATACTCGTTAAAAACCGTGTTTTTTTTAAAAAAAAAACAAACAAAACTTATGATTTTGGTCTTAAAACTGAATACTTAACACGTTACAGAAATGTTTTTTTTTAAATAATTTATTTGTTGTTGTTTTACCATGTTATATATAACCTATCTAATAATTATAATTTCCAAAAAAAAAAAAATAGTTATTTTACACCAAAGACCTAAATAAGTATTCAGTAAAATAACATAAAATAATAATTACAGGATAGGTAGACTTTGAATTTATCTTTTTTGCTTATACTAATAATATGTGTTTGTAAAAATCTTTATTTTTATTTTCTTGAATTTGCTGCTGCACTTAAAGATACAAATTAGTGCAATATTTCATAAAAAAATCCAATTAATATGACCTTAAAACAGTATATAATCTATAATTTTGTTGAAGTATGCGCGAAAATATGTCGTAAAGAATTCTTATTTTTAATCACACTTTCATGAAACATATTTTGTGCTTACATGGCAATGGCATACAATATTATGCCATCGAACGGGAAAAAAATGTAAATGCGTATATTATAAGGCCGAGCACTGAGCAGTATAGCCTAATAACAATTTTGCACAACATATTGAAATAAAAACGTTTTGATGTATTATATTAGGTACCTATACTCGTGTATAAACACTATTCATGGCTAAATCACGTGATAAAATATTAGCATTGAAATCGTTGTTATTTAATAAAAATAAAAACGGTGATGATAGATGCGTTTATTTCACCCACAAGTAAACAAATCGTAGTATGTTTATTTTTTATAAACAATTCGTGCGTCAACAAATTCAATTGTGGGTTCACAAAAATTGAAAAATCGAACGTCCCCACGCGCGATCGAGCCCAAAACAATAATAATGTCCCATTATAAGGTCACGTCATTCGTTTTTGCAGCAGTAACAGAAAAAATATTATGTCCTTTTATGTGTATTTCACTCATGGGGACCATTGGAAAATCGGGAAATTCTCGATGGGCCACATATTAAACTATTAACTATATATACTTGGCGGGACCGCTGCGTGCACTATACCGAACTCAACTGTGTGTAGTCTTTTCCAACTAACAGAAATCAAATATATACGGTTTTTGTGTTATTTTTATCTCGTTACAAGAGATGCGACTTTTAAGGTTATTTTTTTTTTAAAGTTTTAGGACATTTCTTTTTAACAGCTTTGAGTAAAAATACGAGCTAATTATTTGTCATTATTCTATAATCTATATTTATATTTTTCGCTAATTCAATGATACTTAAAATGAATTAAAATCAGTTTTGAAATTCAAGTTTAAACCTGCAAAACCACGTATGTTTATGAATTTTAATTTTTAATATTGAAATTGATAACTAATTTTTAGCATCAATAGTTTTATGAACGTATTGTTACTCGTTACGTATTTATAGATCATTATCATAATATACGGTCTTTTGGTTTTTAGTGTCGTGAATGCATTTGTATGGGCTTATTTAGGCCATTATGTCATACACATCTGAACCATAAACATATAATAATAATTAATCAAAAAATCTTCCTCTGTGGATAGTAAAATCTAAAATACATATTTTTATATTAATAAAGATTAATTTTACTACTCTTAATATTTTATGGTTAAAATATTAAACATTTGATTTTATACTTATATGTATTATAATATTATAAATATTATCTATTGTTATACTGGTTAGATGTTATAGTATCTAAGTAAATAGTAATATTGTTCTATTTTTCAAATACTACAAATTGTACCTACATATTTTGTATTTAAAGTAGGTCAAGTGATTATTAACTATAAATTACATCCAATAACAACTATAGGCATCTTATATCTGTCTATAGTCAGTGGCGTATTTGTGGGGAGTAACGTAGTGTATACCCCCCCAACATTGGGCTTTATTTTACTTGAATTATTGTAATACTGTATGATATAATTAATATAAAATTCATAAGTTATTCAACAATGATACCAACTCGAATCCTCCTTAAATGATCTCCAGATTCGCTATACTGTCTATAGTATATTATACAAACGTCAAAGTTCAATAATACATTATTTAAGTATCATAATTTTTTAGGAACTATAATATAGACACCACAAAATCTCAATAAATATTTACCACCCATTTAAAGAACTGAAAAAAAATTACCACTTTCAGTATGTGTGGTGTACAATCACCGAACAAAATAATAACTGTGAATGTGGGCAACTTAAAAAGTAATTTTCCGGGCTGGTCTGAAATTCCAAATCCGTTAACGAATTCGCTCTATACGATACGCGTACAACTTACAGCACACGTGTGTGTGTGTGTGTGCCCATACGTGTAGGCTCCAGTGGCGCATTTACGGGGGGGGGATGAATCCCCCCTGATATCTTATTTGTTACTACCTTATTTATAATGTTCTGACATCGAATCGTATACGTACCAACGACAACAGCCTGACGAACACGTGTGGCTTGCGGACAAAGTTTTGGATGTTGAAATCGCCTCCGACTTTTCCGGCGCCGTAAGCTTGCGGACCAGCGTCCATGTTTGCAACGATCGACGACGACGATTTACGATGACGATCTGTACCAAAACGTTGTTTCGGGCCGAGACGGACACGGTACGAGGGACGGCCGACTTTTGCGCGATATTATGATTATATATTTATTATAAATCGCGGCAATTGATTGACAACAGTTTACTAGGTATGTTTATATATTATTGTATTGTCACTTTATAGGTATAGCGGCCGCTGTGCGTAACCTTTATGATAATAATTTTATTATTGTCCGTCCCGCGTATTGTTATTATTATACGGTGTGTGCACTGTCCAGTGGCGGATGTTTCGTTTCGTTTCTTTGTTTTGTTATTTTCGCTTGTGTACAAAACGCGGCGGCGTATTATCAACAGCGCGACGAGGCGGCGGCGGCGGCCAGCATAGAGCTTTTGCCGAGATAACGGCGCACATTGATTTTTTTCACG